TAGGATTATATATTTAAAAATACATTTTTATTGTTTCAGTTTCACATAGCAGTGTAAATTGTTCACACTGACCATAACGAGAAACTAGAGAAAATGAAAAAGCAACTGTCTGAGGACACCAAAAATAAAAGCAAGTGGATTATGGAGAAACAATCCAGACAGGAATTAAAGTAATATAAAACTACTTTCAGATAAGAAAAAACTAAAAGACTATATTGCCAGCAGACTAACTCAACAAGAAATCCTAGAAGTCCCTCATGCTGAATGGAAATGATACTAGAAGGAACCTAAATTCCTGATAATGGAGGAAAAGCAAAAACATAAATATCTAGATATATAAAAAATATTTTCCCTTACATTCTACATAAATAATTATATATACACTATATACAAAGCAAATTTATAGTATGTGGGGGTTTCAATGTTTGTATATGGAATCCAGAAGACAAGTATCACAAGGGTTCGTGGTAAGGACGCTTGTATTTACGATGCTTACACATTTTTACATCAAGAGATAAAATCTTTAAGCAGACCATGAAAATTTGTTATGTATATTGTAACCCCTACAACAACCAAAATAAACAAAGGGAAAAAAAAAAAAACAAGAAAAGCCAAGTTAGTAACAGACCAAAAATCCAACAGATAAAAATTCAGATAATCCCTTCCTCAAAAAGCAGGAACAAAGCTATTAAAATAAAGAGGGACAAACAGAAAATATTAAATGTAGATATAAGTCCCACCATATCAGTAACTACATTAACTATTAAAGGTCTCTAAATAGTCCAGTTAAAAGGAAGAAATTGATAGTGGATTTTTACCAAAGTGTTACATGCTGCCTCTAGAGAAACAATATAAAGACATATCAGTTGAAAGTACATGCATGAGGGATGTGGAGAACGCGCCATGCAAACAGCAGAGCATGAGGAGGGACTGGAGCAGTTATGAAAGCAACTAAAATGACCTCCACACAAAGAACATCATCAAAGAGAAAAATGCATTCATAATAAGAAAAGGAATATATCAAAAAGATAGAACCTTAATACATGTACCTAAACTATCTCAAAATACACTAGTAAAAAGTGATAGAGTTAAAGGAGAAATAGATTTAATGGACACAGAAAGCAAACCTGAGAATAAACATTCTTTTAGGGGGGTATTGTGGGGTGGTAACATGTCGGAGGAGATGTGACCCATTCCCCTAAACCATGTAGTGTTGTAAGCCAATGTTACCTCAATAAAAATATTTTTAAAATTATACACGTTCTTTTCTGATGAACATGATGTAGTCACCAAGCTAGTCCCTATGCTGAGCCATAAAACAAGATTTAGTGACGTTTTTTAACTGTTAAGCATGCACATACCAAACAAAATAATTTTTAAAAATCAATTACAATAAAATATCTAGGAGTAAAATATATAGAAACTAAGCAACACACTTCAAAATAAGATAGAAATCAAAATAAACTCACATGAAAAAATAATTTTGTAAGATATGGATAAAGTTGTCCTTCTAAACAAGCCTTAAATGTTTTCAGTATTAGAATCAATAGTCAGCTGAACTAAGGATAGCAGGGAGCAATTATAAAAAGAAGGAAATGTTTGGAAATGATGGCATTGTTTACCTTGATTGTGGAGCTGGTTTTGTAATGTATAAATATGTAAAACTAATTGAATGATATGCTAAAATATGTGCATCATAGTACATTTCAATTATACTTCAGTAAGTTTGCAAAAAATACTCTCCTTGTTAACAGATTCAGTGGGGAGTTTGTAATGGTAGAATCCTAGAGATGGCCCTAAAAGTTCCAGAAATATATACCTTATGACTACTGGAAACTTTTGAGTTTTCTCAGGAATAAGTACAATTACATCAAACATTGGATAAAATGATTAAGAAATAAAAAGATGGAGTTTTCTGGAGATCCATATTCTGACAGGCATTGTCTTCTGAAGTGAATGGACTGAGGGAATGCTCTGAAAACTCAGTTGTATGAATTTCTGTAAAAGTATGCACTTAGGCAAATAAAGAAACTTTACCAGTATGGTTGTGTCCATGCTTCCTAACTTAAGAACCCCTCAACAAATATTCACTCAGAGATAGTAGTAAGCACTAGACATATGTCAGATGCTGGCAAAATTGAGCAAGGCATTTGTTGCCCCCGTGAAGGGTTCCATCTAATAGAAGAGATAAGCATCGAATTTTTTAAAGTTACACAAACAAGCATATTTTAAAGTTACAATTGTAATGTTACAATAAGAGAATCTAGTCTAGTCAGGAAAGGATTCCCTGAAGGTCAATAAAGGGATACTTTAAGGATAAATGGAATGTTGTCAGACAAAGTGGCAAGTAGAAGATTCCAGACAGCATTTGGAAAGGACTATGTCTGGAAGTAGCCCAGCATGTTCCAGAAACTGGGAGATAGCCAGCAGCTTTGAAGATTAATGAGATGACATCTGGCAAGAAGGCAGAAGCAAATGGGGGGGTCAGATCATATAGGTCATGTTTGCTACATCCCACAGCAACCCCAGAGGTTTTAAGTAGACGCCAAATAAGTTAAATTTTGCTCCTGACCCAAAAGAGGATATAACCTACTGACATGTTTAAGCATTAGAGGGATAGTAACCCCATGCTTCTGAGATCTGATCTCGTCTGTTAACCAGCATTTAATCTTATGCTTCCAGAGTAGTTGCCATGTTTGTTTGACGTATGTTCTGCCATGAGATCAGAGTAATGAGCAGTTCTAAGGTTCCAGGGCTATTAGAAATACTGTGTTCCCGCAGGGCTCCTGAAGCTGCAGTGTGTTAAGTAGAGTCTTGTTTCTTCACCCTAAACACTGAGAGGCACACTTGTAGAAGTGGAGCCAGGAACAGCCTGGGAGGAAGCAGGCTTCTGTAGACACTGTTCCTTTATAATGAGGTCATGTTAATCATTTACCCATATTAATTCACCTGATCAATTTTGTTCTTTGTTGTGAGGTAAATAAAACAGATTGGTAATTTAGCCACACATACACTTTACCACACAAGGGGTCTAGGCCTCAAAAGGAATTAGTGTGCAAGTGAGCACGGTGATTATGAACTGGGCTCTGAGTCCAGGGAGCTGGGTTAGGAACAGGACTGTCCACTTTATACCTGGGTGCCTTTGAGCAGGTTTGTGTTGACTTCCAATTTAATAGGTGAAACATGGTGTCCCCATGTATCTAAAATTATAGATGTATCTTTTCTTATTGTTGACCTTTTTTTCTGATTCGTTAAGATTTTATGCTTGCTTTAGGCAAGGAAATTTATAATTCTTCATTAATCTTCAAACTGTGACTTAAAATAGTGGCTAACAAGGTAAAAATCCCAAGGACAACAAATTTATAGAAAGAGTAAATTATTTTGGTCCTCCCTGGTGGCACAAGAGGTTAAAACACAGCGCTACGAAGTATGAATTCGATCACTGGCCAGGGACATTAACCACATGGCACAGCAGATCTCTCCTGTCTCACCCATGGCTCCCCTCAGCAGTGTACTTCATCAACCTGCCTATTCTGCTCCCCCCTGTCTCTCACCACCTCTGCACCTCTGGCCTGCCCCAGTTCTGTATGCACAAACAAAAAAAATAATAAATTATTTCAAATACATAACAAATTGTCAGTATGTTTAAAGTCTGAGAATACTTATAAGGATAAGGAAAAAGGCACTTTTTTTCATTTTTGTAAAGAGAAAATTTCATATCATTGACAAGAGTATAATCAAAGTAAACTTTTTGGGAAGTTGATCTGTCAGTATCAGAATAGAAAATGCATTGCCCAATAAAAAATGATAACACTAAATATTGTATTTAATATATATATATATAATAAATAAAACCAGGAATTCAGAAAAATAACTTGTTTAAAAAAAATTGAGAATATATGTACCCATGACCTGATTTCAATGCTAGGAATTTAGCCTTTTAAATTACTGGCAAAAGCATTTTATACATAAGGAAAAAAGTTTGCTGAAGCAGTTTAATAACAGCAAATAACCAGAAGTAATCTAATCACAGTAGGAAACTAGACATGTTATTTATGGGACATCCATAAAATTGGGCATTTGTTCAAAATAACTTGATTTGTGGTGAGCTTTTAACTGCAGATTTATTGCATGTAGATACATCAGCTGGGAAAAGAGTAGATGACATATACCAGTGTGTATAACAAGACTGTAATTTTTAAAGAATAAATATAAGAATATATGCTGATTTGGGTGTTTACATTTTCTCCCGATCTCAAGAAAACTGACACTTGCTGCTGAAGAGCCAGGAAGGTGAAAGGCATTTTTCTCCTATTCAGGTAAATGTGTTAACCAAGCATGTGCATTACTTTTCACATTATTTTTAAGGCTAAAGAGTAAATGTTCCCTTATAACATTCATTCTATAAAGTATTAGTTTTAAGTGAATTTTAAAGTTTAATAAAAAAAATGTACTCTCTACCTTACCTAGAGATGACACGTAGCAACATGTCAGAGAAGAAAGTATTGTGGCGACGAAAGGTGGGGAAGAGTCTACCCTGCTTAGCCGCAGGCCTAATTCAGAATTTCGTCTCCACCACAGACCAGGTGAGTGACTCTGAAACTTCAGAAGCCTACACTCCTTCCTTCTGCTACATCAGCATGAGTGACCCCCCACTTTTTATACTGATTCACAGGCACAGAACAAAGAAAGGCAGGGAGGCCTGAGCTACTTCTTGGCTGTTGTTCTGGTGTTTCTGCACAGCTATCCCATGTGCGAGGTGTTCAACCAGCTCTATTCTCAGGGGAAAGAAGGCCACTTACACAACAGCAAGAGCTTCCGGGCAAGCTCTGAATGGTTGCCCGTGCTGTGGTTTAATGACATATTTATAAGCATGGACTTTCCGTGGAGCTCCTGATTCAAGTTCCTGTCAGAGAAATGGGCTTCTCACCCTGAGCGTTCATCTTTTGACATCCCCCATGATGAAACCCCATGCCCCAAAGAGGAAAATATCTAGCAGCTGGTTTCATCCATACAGTTTTATTTTTGTTCAACTACAAGCAAATAGCAGAATTAACACAACATTGAGCAACCCGAGGCCAGCTTTTCTCAGACCATGAACAGTGATCAGTTTCACAGGCACAGACGTAGGGACTTCTAATAAACCTGTCACCCAGCCCTGCAGCTCAGCTAGACGATGTCAAAGCCACTCTCCTCATTGCTTTTTTTCAGTAGTGCTCCTTGAAGAAGCCACAGTGGGATGCTGACACCCAGTCACCAGCCTGAGATGTTGCGTGCTGGTGGTTAGCAGACATGGCAGCTGCTAGTTGTCTTCAGGAGAGAGGGGGCCATGAAAACACGTCTGTGTCATGCCAGGTAAACACATCTGTGTTGTCACACACCATCCTGGACTTGGGCTCACGAAGGCAGAGGGGCAAGGAATCTTTATTTTTGTTAATTCTCCTTTAGAGAATTATTTGATGTGTTGCTCCATTACTCTAGAGCTGCTGAATTTTCTCTTCTTTACCTGTGGGTTGCTATGTTTACACTAATAATTTGTTAACCCCATCACAGTTCCAAAATATTCCCCAGCATAGAGTTTAAGTTTGATCAAAACATAAATCTGGTGAATGACCCTCTAGAATTAAAGTAAGCAAAAGGTGGTCACTCTCAAACACTATCTCATTGCTCAGATCCACCTATTAGACAGAAAGGAAGCAGGGAAGAGAAATCTACGTGCATCACTGAACTTGAATATGGGGGCTTCAGGGGCTGTCTCCATCTCCTGGCATCCCCCTACTTCCCAGACAGCTGCTCATAGAGTCTGGGGACATAGTCATCCCACTCAGCTTGGTAACATGTGCCAGCTATTGGGGGACCCAGCTGGTACTTCTTGCGGAAAGCAGCCACCTTAAAATTGCCACGATGGTCTCCGGATCTATTGCTGAGAATTGGCTCGTCACACTTCAGCGGCCCATCCTGGGCGTAAACCAGCCAAACATACCTGTGAAGGCCTGAAGGGAGAAACAAGAGAGAAGATGTACACACAGCCAGGCACTGAAATGGACACATTACCCATTTTCATAGATGATGAACTTGAAGGGACCCAGACCACCCCCCTTTACAAGAGGGACCCTGGGGATGGCCAAGAAAGGAAAAATGAGTCAGTTCCCCCATGTCTGGAAACCATCCATTGGTTTCAAGTCCACCCCTGCAGCGGGCATCTACAGAGCCAGAGGGTGACCCTTGCACACCCTCCCACAGATCGCTGCTTCCACTTCAGAATGTCAGTCCAGCTGCACCAGGACCCTGTTGCCATGCATTTTCCACCACTCCTGTCAGAATCCAATCTCCTTCTTTCACAGTAAAATTATTACCTAAAAGTCTAACATTTTAATTTTAATCTCCTTGCAGAACCTACCCTGGCACCTGCAACAAAGGTGATAAAAATATATGAAAAATAGGGCCCTCCCTGGTGGCACAACAGGTTAAAGCACAGTGCTAAGAAGCTATAGCAGCCAGTGCAGCAGGAGTTCGATCCCCGGCCAGGAGGGTGGTGACCCACATGGTGTGGCAGACCTCTCCTGTCCTGCCCATTGCTCCCCTCAGCAGTGTACTTAAGTATATCTATTGTTCTGCTCCCCAGTCTGTCTCTGGTGAGTCCTCTCACTTCCCCACCCCACACCTCTCGCCTGTACCCCAGTTCTGTAAGCATAAATAAATAAATCTTTAAAAATACATATATAGGAGAAATAGGTAGAGACAAAGCAAATCACTGACTAGGTGCTCATCATACTACAATCAAGCCTAATAAGCTAAAGGAGAACCGTATTTTCTTACCTCCAAATCTCCCTTCCCTAAGAAGCCCATCTTAAAAAAATGATTCGGGCCCTCCCTGGTGGCACAGTGGGTTAAAGCACAGCACTAAGAAGCTAAAGCCGCTTCCACATGAGTTCGATCCCCGCCTGCCCCGTAGGTGACCACATGATGTGGCAAACCTCTCCTGGCCCGCCCGCTGCTCCCCTCAGCAGTGTACTTCGTAGATCTGCCTTTTCTGCTCTCTACTCTGTCTCTGGTAAAGACTCTCGCCGCCCCTGAGCCTCTGGCCTGTACCCCAGTTCTGTAAGCACAAATAAATCTTAAAAAAAAAAAAATGATTCAAACTCACTCTAACCAACTAAGTAGCAAAGAATATTTTCAAACCAGTCAGCAAGTACCCTCTTCGTTTCAGTTTTTTGCAAGCTCCAGTTAAGCACCTGACACAAAAAAAGTGCCATGAACTTTTTTTAAAGCTATTTTGTAGCCATATTTTGTTTTTTGTACACATATATTTATTGTGGCATTATTCATAGTAGCCAAGAGGTAAAGCGAGGGATAGAAAAACAAAATGATATACCACTGGAATATCATTCAGCCTTTAAAGAAAAAGGAAATCTTGTAAAAGGCAACAATAATGATGTCTACATGGATCTCACATGTCTCTATTGAAACTTTCATAAATGGCTGGCCTGAATATAAATATTTTTAATAACTGTGAAGAACTCTTGGGTAATTTATATGACTTAACAATGCTAGGTATTATCAAAGAGAAATGGAAATTCATGGCCACAAAACGATAAGAATGAACATAACAGCTCTATTTATGATACTCAAACACTGGGGCAACCCTCATGTCCAAGAGAAAGCCCCCCCGCCACTGCCCCACATACACTGTGATGGAGCCTCAAAATGGAGGAATTAAAAAGGAATTATAAAGGAATGAACTGCTGGTACAAACAGCATCTTCAGTGAAAGAGAAAAGTCACCCCACACAACTATATACTATATGGTGCCATGTAGAGAAAGACAAGAAAAGCAAGCGCAATCTCTGGAAAAAGAAGTCAGAAACGGTTAGCACAAAGATCACATGAGAACCTCATCAGAGATGGAAACTTTCTACATCTTACTTCCACTGGTGCATACAAGGGAATCAGTCAACAGTCGCCAACTGAACCCTTATATGTTGTTTACACCTTATTAAAAAAATAAAAGGAACAATGAAAAGAAGAAAAAGTAAAACAAAAAGCAAAGGGAGAAAAAGTGAGTCACAGAAGCTTTTTTTGTTAATGAGAACATGCAGCTCCTACCTGAGAGAAACGCGTTATTCTCATGTGCATACTTCCCATAATTAAACTCCCTAATTTTAGAGGACTGCCCCACAGTACTCAGTAGGTCCCTGGGAAATATAAATGCATCAGAGGCCTTGATGTCAGCTGAGGCTTCTGTGCCTGCAGATAAAACTTGAGCCCATAGCCAACTGTCCTTTCAGGGAATGTCTTGTCCCTTTTCAGAACGACTCATAGCTGGACAATGTCTACAAAAGGTGCCATCCTGCCATGCTTCATTCACATTATGTCTGTGTTCCAGCACCCCAGTACCCCCATTTGCTTACACAGCACTTAGCCAACTTGGAGCATTTCAGTGGAATAGTCTGTCTCTTTATAATAGCACAATACCATAATACAATGTGTGTGCATCTGTCTTTAAATAGTTCCTGAAGTCTTCCAAATCTTTTCAAGATACTAGACACTAGATTTTTGAGAAATTAGCTGGAACTATAAATTTTTAGTTTGGAATAATTCATTTGGAAAGTGTTACCATTTATGAGATCCTACACAGGAACTAGAAACTCAAAGATGACACATGGCAAAGGATGACCGTAAAACCTGTTCGGCCACAGGCAGCTCCCCTAGGAAGCTGTTCTCAAACATTCTGCAACGTTGCCTCCTTGGTATCTTCTTACCACCTTTCTGCTCACAAAAACCAGGAGGCTGACGGGCAATACTAATAGGGTCCATCTCACCAGAACCCAAGTTACTGGCATCTGAATGGCAGGAAACTGGCTTAGAGGTGAACTGAGTTGTCTGAACTCTGAGCTTGGGTAAGGACACTCCTTAGTACAAAATAAAGCTCTAGGAAGAAGGCTAAAATGTGCAGTGCTTTAGACCAATCTTAAATATGCACCCAGACTCCCATTCCACCCTCCCCAATAGCAGCCCCTACTGACCTGTGCCCCTGGGAGGCCCGGAGCCCACATAGTCAGAGAGGACTGTGCCACTGCTGATATCATTGCCCTTCATGTTGACCACCAGGAAATGGTGCCATTCCCTGCATGGAGAAACAGGTACCATCAGTACCACAGCAAAACAATAACCCCCAGCACAGCGAGAAAATATGCACGGAATACACGCTCCATTCCAGGACACAGTGATGGACAAGATAAGAAGTCCAGCCTTCGTGGTCAGCACAAACAAACCCTATGTATGTGCAGAAGAGAAAACCCAGCCCCTCTCTCCTCTGAGAGTCTGTAGGAAGGGATTAGCAAGCCTTGTCTGGAAAGGGCCAGCGAGTGAATGTTCTAGGTTTTCCAGGTCATATGGTCTCAAATACTCAACTTTGCTGCCATAGCATGAAAACAGCCATAGATATGACAGCATCATCATGGCTCGGTTCCAATAAAACTTCATTTTTATGGACACTAAAATATGAATTTCATGTAATTTTTACATGTTACAAATTATTTTGTAAATTTCCACCAATCACTTAAAAATGGAAAAATTATTCTTAGCTCTTGGGAGTAATGGACCTAGGGGGACCTGGCTCGCATGCTACCCCAGGCGCCTGGTCCAGGCTACAGGGGCCCCAAGTGCACACTCCGGCTTCAGGTGGGTGTGAACACTCTGAACCAGGCCTACCTCTAGCACTCATGTCCAGTTAGGGGCTTACAAGAGGCATCAGGTCAGATTTGGATGACCCGCTCTTCCCCATCTCCCCTCAACTGACCTGTATTTAGGGTCCTTCCTGCTAGGAGCATCCGGGTCTGTCATGGCCAAGGTGTAGAGTTTACCTGGATCAGCGCCATCCCAAGCAATGCTGGTGGGCCGGTTCTTAACCTGGAGAAAGAAACCAATTTGAAGTTAAAATGTCAAAAATATTGAGAAAACCAATTGTCTTTGCTTAGATCTCAGATTCCTCCAAGGTAAAACTAGAGTAGGTTATTAACAAAGTTGTATTATTAATAAAGCATATGGACTTAACTAGGAGCCCGAAACTGATATTTCATGTTTAATATACTTGACTTAGTTTAGTCCTCACAACATCACAGGGATAGTATCCTAGCTAGTTATTAACAAAAGAAGTTGTAGTTCAGGATTTCAAGGCTGATGCTACCTCGTCTCAACTTTAAGCTTACATTGTCTCGAAAGACCAGATCTCTAGATTTGGTGACCAAAAAATTACCTGGAACCTGCTACAGTGAAATCTGAATTAAACCGACATTTAAAACTGTACAGAAAATGAGAAAGTCAAGGGGTCAGTGAATCCCAGGAAAAGATTGGAAGACAGGCACCTGATATTTAAACATGCAAACAATAAATATCACAGCAATTTATTCACACCGTTGCTTCAACGCCAATTTGCAATGGCGCCGAACCCAGTGTCTTCACTCTATGCACCTCGGAGCCATGCACGGCTGAGCCATGGACATCAGGACAAACGGTAAACCAAAGCCGTTGCCCACGCGCATTGTGCTGCAGAACGCCCTCACCTTTGCCGGCTTCACGCTCTAGACCTCCAAGACAAAGGAGGAAATTCTGGACACCGCGGATCACCAGTTACATAATTCATCATATGCCCTGGGCAGAGCTTTCAACCCCCAAAGTGAGGCCTAAAATCCTAGGGGAGGGAGTGAGGCTCTGAGGGCGTCAGAGTGGCCATGGCCTGCTCCTTCCCGGGCTTGACCCTCTCCTGGGCCCGTCCCGGCAGTGTACAGTGTACGGGCCCAGTCCCGGGTCTACGCCTTGAGGGCCCGGGAAAGAGGATCCATTCCGCTAGCAGACCGAGCCCCGCCTCCACGCACCGGTCCGGACACGGCCGGCTGGCGCCGAGGGGCGGCAAGGCACGACCCCTTTCCCGCGGCGGTGGGGCAAAGCGGGCTAGAATGGCGGCCGCGCCGGCCTGCAGCTCTCCCAACCCCGCGCAGATGTCCCCCGCCAGCCTCGGGTACCTGGGTGGGCGTCAGCACGACGCCCAGCTCACTGATCTCCACTCCGGCGTATTTGACCTGCAGCGAGTGCTGCGGCCGCTCGTCCACCTCCTGCAGGCACAAGGGCCCGGTCCACTTGCTGAGATCCGCCGGCATCGCGGGACTGAGCAGGGCTGGCAGGCGAGCGAGCAGCTGAGAGACCAGGCGCAGACCAGCGGGTCTTGTAACAGTTCGAGCAGACCAGCGGGTCTTATAACAGTTCGAGCGCACTGGCACGGCGGTCCGGGAAGCGCACGCGCCCAGGCCCCCCACCACGCGCCCCGCCCCGCCCCGCCCCCAATCCCTGGCAGGGCCGGGCTCCCCTCTGCTCTCTGATTGGCCAAACACAGTAGGGCCTGGCGCCGTGCACGCCAGAGTCAAAGCATTCAGTTTTGGGGTTTTGTTTTGGTTTTTGCACTGGCCACCCCTGGTTGTTCAGTCACTGGGAACTGGCACGATGTGCTGGGCCATAGTTTCAAGAAATGCAGTTGAGCCGCCATTAATTTGTTTTCCTTTGTGCATGATTCTTTGTCCCACTTTTAAATTCAGATCTGGTAAGGCCTTGCCCGCATTACACTTCATAAAGTAAGCCGCTGCCAGCATTTCCTCATATTTTTGTGCATGCTTTTTGGTAACTGCCAATTAGAAGGCCTGAATGAACTTTTGAACATTTTTTTCATCTGACAAATATATGTGCACATCTGTGTGGCCCCTATCCCCCTACTTGGTCCTCACAAGATGTCTGGGAAATGACATTTTTTAAAGCATAGTTATTCCTACTTTGCTGATAAATGGGTTGCCTCTAGCAAAACGGCTCTCACTGTGGTCTCTAAATGCTTTTTTTTTTCTTTCAAAATAGAATTCACAGAGTTTAATAGCTCTTTTCTGGCTTCACCTTAAGTACAGCCTCTGACTTTGATCACCCCACTCCCCACTCAGCTCCACACCCCAAGGGGAGAGAGGAGGGAAAGGCAAATTCTCTGTTGTTTTTATTTCTTATTATAACATAAGTTCATTATACAAAGTTCAGATTAAAAAAAAAAGTAAAATAATTTTTTTCTATTCCACTATCGATATAAACATCAGTAACAATTTGAGGTATAGCTTTTCAATGTTAAAATTATAAGTATAGATAATGATGTTTTGTCTATTTACGCAAAGAAAATTGAGGGAAAAAATTAAACTGTCACCATAAAATATCCATGTCAAAAAGAGTTCTTCACCATTTTAATGGCTTCATCTACTTTAGATCCACCACAATTAATTAAACAAACCTCAATGTTGGACATTCAGGCTATTCTGTTGGTTTTTTCCTTTTACAAATATCAATGAAATGAACATTGCTGAAATGAACATCCCTGTATATTTAAATACTTGGGGGGAAAGTTTTATTAGGCAAGGACTTGCTAAGCCAAAGAACATGTACATGAAAGGCATAGATTTGAAGGTCTTGTTAGGTCCAGACTAGAAGCAAAGCCTTCTGTCACCAAGCTCTGATAAGATTATTGGTTCTTGTCTTCATTTTTTCTCAAACTGCACTTTGAGAACCTCATAGCAAAAGGAGAAACATCCCCTGCCCCGAAAGACCTGAGTCTAGCAGCAGAGACATTAATAAAATGACAGAATTAAAATTACAGTGATAAACAGCAACAGCAGGCCCTGATGGCCCCTGAACAACAGAGAACAACCCGAAGGGTTTCTGCAGGTAGCTCCTTGCATGACCTCGGGAAAAACACCTGCAGCCCGGGGCAAGCATGATGCTGTAAGATGACAGGCGGTGGGGACAAAGCCTATTGGGAAATGTGGAAAGAAATTCCAGGTGTCTCTGCTCCTGTCTACATTCTTGCCCTTTCCCTACCCTAACAAGTAAACAACCCCCAGATCTATGAAGTCTACCTCCCAAATGCCCTCCAATAGGCACCTCTCTGTCTACCCTGACACCCCACTAATGACTCTGGTGTTACTCTTCTTGACCACCACCTTCAATTTTCCTCTCTTTGGGTCCATCCTGTCCATGTTCATGCCTTAGACAAATGATACTAAGCACAGATGCTCCAAGGAGGTTTAAGAGGTGGGGAATACTTCATGGAGTGCTTATTGGGTGCAAATGCTTACTGTGCTTTAGCTCCTGGGAAGGTGGCATTATTCTTCCTATTTTATGAATCGGCAGTGGAAGCTCATGGGATGACCTCCCGGATCTGTCTCTCCTTTCTCTGTCCCTATTACTCTGGGCTTCTGTCTCCACCAAGAAGACAGTACTAGCACCATTTCCACTGAAACAATGCTGGGTGCCTGCTGTAGAGGTCAATATGCTCCAGTAACAACCACTACAATAAGGAGATTAGTAAATGCCATACCATTGCCACGCACCCACGGTATGTGTGCTCCAATGACAACCCTAGCCATTTATTGAGCACCTACTGTGTGCAGGTCAGCATGCCACAATGATGAGTACCTTAGCTTACTGATCATTACTAATGCCACTTGCCAGACCCTGAGCAAAGGCCTGCACACTCAGTGTCTCATTTCATCCTTACCCTAACCCCATAAGGGAGCTATTGCCATGCTCCCCCTTCAATAGATAAGCTGAGGCTATGTCATAGCAAGATGAAAGCCTCCACTAGTCACATGCGCGTGCATCTAACACATTCTAACCAGAAATACTGTGACTAGAGGGAAGACAGGCAGGATCGCCACCCTTTAAAGAACTTTCCCCTAACTGAAGTATTACACAGTGCCCCCACAAGAAGAGACACTCACACGTTTAACAGCAGGTTGTAAGATTGACCAGGGTTCCAGGTGCTTTTAGGCCAAGTCTACAACTTGGCAAGGTGCCTCCAGCCTCTGAGACTCTCCAGGGACATAAAGGCAGACCAGGCCCTGGGAGACTCAGAGCCCTCTGCAGTCAGGGTGGGCTGGCCTGCTCCCTTGGAAGGACATCAGGGCTAAGGTGCTTCCTTCCTCTCTCCTGCATTCCCTGCCTCTCTCTCCATTCCCTCCCATTATCAGTCACATCACTTTCCCTAATAAATTCCTTGTACAACTAGTTCCATCTTGTCATCAGCTTCTCAGAGTGATGATCCCATCAAGAGTGACACTCCCAAGATTGAGAGACAATATGGGGATGCAAGCTTGGGGCTTTAGGGTGCTGGTCTTGGGTCAGTGAGACCAGTTTTGATAGAATGGAGCAGATGGGTGACATAGCAATAAGGTTGAATAAGGTTAAAGAGCAGGAAAGGAGTTTTTTTTTTTTTAACATATAAGAGATTTTTAAATATCTTCAGTATACAAATTATCGACTACCTAGCATGATCTAAGGGCTTGGGCATAGAGTCAGAATGAGGTTAAGTTTTTACAGATCTGTCACCTACTACCTGTGAGACCTGGGTGAGGGTTGTAGGCAGAAGAATCACCTCTCAAAGATATCTGCATCCTCACCTTCAGAATCTGTGAACATATTACATTAACTGGCAAAGGCAAATTAAAGTTATAGGTGGAGATAAGGTGGCCAAGCAGTTGACCTTAAAAATTAAGAATTATTCTGGATTATTTAGATGGATTCAATGGAATCATTGGTCCTGAAAGCAGAACTGTCAAAACCAGAGTGCTGCAATGTGAGAAGCACCTTCCAGCCACTGCTGTCTGAGATGAAGCAAAGGGCCTTGGACCAACAAATGCAATCAACCTCTAAAAACTGGAAAAAGCCAAGTCACAGATTCTCCAGGGCCTCCAGAATGAACACAGCTCTACTGACATTTTAATTTTAGCCCAGTGAAACCCACTTTAAGATGTCTGGCTTCCAGAATGATAAAATAATATATCTGTATGGTTGTAAGTCAAAAAATATGTGATAATTTGTCACAACAGCAAAGAAAACTAATAAAGGATATGACTTATCCTGAGCCTCAGTTTCCCCACCTCTAAAATGGGTTGACCAACACCCTGTCATGATCACTGTAAGGATTAAATGAAACACATATGATTTGCTTCATAAGCCTCCATGTAGGCAGCCATTGCTAGTATTAGATATCCATTGTCTAAAAACTCAGAAATATAAATAATCAAATATAAAATTCATTAATTAATCAAAGGTCTTTAGTAATCCTGCCAAACAAAAACAATGAATATCTTGTTGTATTCCTTACAGACTTCCTTATGTATGTGTTTGTGAATATGTGTATATGAAAAGTGTGTATTTGGTATGAACTAACTCAAATTTTACATTGATGCTGTGAGATAATTTGCTTTTCTTCACTTTCCCTCCTCATGTCTATACATAATTGACACAGCAAGATTCCTAATGACTGTACAGCAGTCTGTTGTGTGCATTGTTACAAAATAAGACCCTACTTGGGAGTGTTTAAAGTATTTACCCTATGCTCCAGAAATACCTCTGCATGTATAGCCTTTAACACACATCCTCTGGCCTTTACTTGGTTGGGGGCTTGTTTTCATCTTAAGATAAAATCTTAGGAGGGAGTTACTGGGTCAAGGAACATTCAGGTTCAAGTTTGGGGTATCAGATTCCAAACTGGCTGTGGCCTTCTTTGCTGATGGATTTTTAAGCCAAAAGGAATCTAAAATTCAAACAGGTATATACCTCCTCGTTTGCTTTTAAATGTTTCTATTTACAAAGTTTATTTTCATCTCTCTAACAATATGTGTAGTCCACATGACCCACATAATAATACATATTATACGTTCCATGAGTTCATGTAATGTTCTTTTTTGAACATTTTCCAATGTTAAAAGCATTCCTAGAGAACTGTTTTAAAACTCCTGCCTAATACAACTGTGTTATGAGTTATTTAATTCTGCATTTGTTGTTAGATGTTAAGACTGATTCTCATTTACCCCTCACTTACAGGTGAGGAAACTGAAGTTCAGCAAGCCTCTGGGACTTGCCAAAAGGCAAAAGCCACCTGAGAAGAGAAGCTTCTTCTCTGTGATGCGAGGTCTCTGAGGAGGCAAGAACAGGCCTGGGCAGAGAAAGCCCACCTAGGAGAGCATTTCTGCTAACCACAGGGGAGGGACCCCAGGCCCCTGCAAATGTCTGTGCAACGCTGTGTTTTTACCAGAAACCAAGAAGAATCCAGATAAAGATCCAGCTCTGGAGGAATCCAGGTAAAGAGTCAGCCCTGAAAATCCAGGTAAAGATCCAGCTCTGGAGGAATCAGGGGACTCATGGCGTATAAATATTCAATACGTACTAACTACCAAGTGTACTTTCATATATTCAAGGCATAGAGAAAGCAATTTGAAAAATAAGACACATCT